AACAAGACGATTAAGATTCCTAGAGATCTTCTTACTTAGAAGGTGTATACAGTCTCACTTTATGTTTTTCAAGGTTTTATTGTAAGGTCTTACAGAAACTTGCATAATATGACGTTTGTTCCTAGACCTTGCCCTTGTTTTTTTTTTTTTTTTTCTAAATTCTTTTTTTTTTTTTTTTTTTAGTACCGGGATTGAACTCGGGACCTTGTGCTTTCAAGGCAGGCAGCACCACCACTGAGCCAAATCCCTGGCCCTCATTCAATTCTTTGAGGCGAGAAGAACCTAGAATCCACCTCCAGAAGGAGAGACAAGCTATCCAGAACCTGGTAACTTTAAGGTGGTGAGAAACAAGCTACGCCCAGATGAGTCCTCTCCCAGGCCACAGTTCTCCCAATCCTACCATCTCTTCAAAGCTACACTCCAACACATCTGCTCCTCGAAGATGTTCCCATTTTGAACTCCTGAAACTTCTAGTAACATGAACTACTCACTTGATCAGTGTTTGCTATTTTTATGCTGACATTCTTCTATACTGAGTTTCTACTTACACTTTACAAAAAACTGGAACACGCATGTTCCACCTCCAATGCAATTCCCTGGAGAAACAGAGTAGTGTGTCCAAAAACATAACAAATCTGCATTCGGTGGGCACCCTGTAATCCCAGCACTCAGACTGATTGAGGCAGGAGGATTGCCAAATTCGAGCCCAGCCTGCCTCTTAGTGAAGGGCTGGGGACACAGCTCAGTGGAAAGGCCCTGGGATGAAGCCCCAGTACCACAAAAAAACAAGCATCTATTTTGTTCTATAGAAATACAGGGGCAGTACTACTAGGGTCCTGGTTGGGGCCTATTGGACTCTGGAGGGTCTGCAATGGCTGCCTATGGAGTATGAGGTTTTATTGTGCAGTAAGAAAGAATAACTCACAGTTGTTCAGTTCAAAAGTCATGTGATAAAGGTTTAATTTAGAAAAAGCTGTCCTTAGTCCACAGCTGCCAGATTAGAAGAAAGGAGGAACAGCTACAGCAAGGTAGGCAGTTGATTCACTCATAAAGGGCTTTGAAAGCACTGAGTTCTCCAATACTACTTCTAGCTCAGCGACTCCTGCCTGCACAAAAAATGTAACAATACCAGGCCTTATCTCACTGCGTTATTACACAAAATAATGCATATGATATGGCTCACTGTTATACGTGGCTGACCGAGACCTATGTCAGATGACAACATCTGACACAGGACAGGCACACTGTGCCTTGGCACCAATTCTCTTTGATCAACTTTGTGTCCTACATTTCTGTTCACTTCTGACACTACTGCAATTAGCATCAGATCCCACAAGATAAAGATCCCCAGCAAAACTGCCTCTATTTTAGATTTTTGCCATCACTTCTTGGCCTTTTGGCTAAGACCAAGTGTATTTTAGACTTTTCCAGGCTGTCCACACTAATGTCTGACAGCTACAAATTCTGGAGTTCCCAAAAATTTTCATTCAGGTTCAAAAATTCACTACAACAGCCTACAGAAATCAGTGAAAACACTGTGGTTCCTCAGTTTACAAATGTGTTTTACAATTTTGGGGACAATGGCTGTGTTTGCATTTTTGTGGGAAAGATGGCTGTGGTCAGTTTGTCACCTGATACAGAGTTTCCAAACAGAAGTCTTCATGAACCGAGGTATTGCTGTACTTAAACAGTTTTATTATAAAGGGTATGTAGGGATAGGAGTCTATAGGCAGGGAAAGAAGAGAATAAGGGCTTCATTATGATTTATTAAAGAAATTAGAAGAAAATCTTACTAAAAGCAGCTTTTGCCTATGTAGTTAAGATTAGCTGGCTAACCTCAACTATGAGAGTTAAAACTTTATCAGAGGAATTCCTCTAGGAACAATTAGAAGGACAAAGGTAAAGAGAGAAACCAGACCTAGAAAGGTACCAGATAGTGCAATTAGTATAAGAAATTACAACTAAGGAAGAAATGTTCTCTGGAGAGATTAACCAGAGGAAGAGCTCATAGGCAAAGCATGGAGAAAGCCAGAAGCATGGAAATTTAAGATAACCAACCCCCATTACAAAGGAGACAAGGGACAGCTAGTCAATCTAAAAGAAAATTCTTATTTAGTGTATAAAAATATAACACACATACATATACATGTGTGCATGTGTGTGTGTGTGTGTGTGTATTTTTCACTCTAGGGCAGTATGGTGAACCATTTAGAACTTTCAGTGACAACAAACATGCCACAGGTTCACCACTACTGCTCTAGGGTCACTATATTACTACACTAGACACACACACATTCTCTTATTTAATCACTAACCCTAAACTGCCTTTCTATAATGCTCCTGCTAACCAAGTTATAATCACAGAGATAAGGCCCAGACAAGGACAAAAGGACAAGAGGAAGTCAAAGCCCACCACAAGGAATGTGCATGTCAGCAAAGGTACCTGCCCAGGTCGGGGGTCATGGACCTGGCCCTCATCCAAAGACAGCCTGAGGAACCAATAAGACTGTGACAAGTTCCAGGTATCCACTCAGGAGGGGTCCCTAACCCTTATAAAAGAAACCAGGAGGAAGATTCATGGGTATCCATTTTTTTCTGGGCCCCCTGCCCCCTCTCCAGGGCAGCTTGTTTCTCTCTGCTTTTTCCTCCTTATAAATAAAGTGTCTTCCTTTCTCAAACTCTGTCCCTATAATTCGTTATTGCCTCTGAGTTTGTGATCCAGCTAGCTGCTCACCTTGGATGTGACAGGCACAGCTGAAGAACAACCAAATGGGAGAGATGCTCAGGGCAAGGTCAGAGACAAGAAAAAAGGAACGGAGCTTCCTCACTCTCACCTCAAGAAATACAGGTGTCAATCCCCTGTGATGTGCATGTGTTCACCAATGTCTCATGCTTTTTACATGGAGTTTCATTACCTAAGCCTGACCAATTAAATCACTGCCCATATGACTGACGGAACTCAATATCCAGACCTGCTCCCCTTCTCAGAGACAAGGGGGTGGGGCTCAAAGTTCTAACCGGCTGATCTTGGTCTTTCTGAGGCTGACAGCCCCTCCACTGAAACTAAAAGCCCACCCAGTATCTTTTCATTAACATAAACTCAGGTGTGGTCAAAATGGACTCATTATGCATAATAAAAAATACTCTAATCCTTCGGAAAATTCTAAGGGTTTTTGAAACTCAATTGCCAGGGACTAGGGACAAAGATCAGATTTTCCTTTTTTTGCAGTAGTGGGGAATTCTCAGGGATTACTGAGCTACATCCTCACTTCACCCCTTTTTTTAAGGCAAGGTCATACTAAATTGTCCAGGGTGGCCTTGAACTTGATCCTCTGGCCTCCACCTCCCACAGTTACGGGATTACAGGCATGTGCTACTATGCCAGCTCAGATATATTCTTTATAATGCCACATACACAATAAATAGAAGCTTTTATTTTAGAAGCCAACTTGTAGAATAGTGAGATAATGCAAGATAAGGGAAAAAAGACATTACAATAGGAAAAATGGATACAGGCAGGGTGTCAAATGGTCTATACATGTTCAAGCCTGGACAATTAAACACAAACAGATATATCCTGGCAGGAAATTGAGTATAGGATTGAGAATGACTTTAGTTTTAGCGAAGCTGAGGCTGAACGTGACAGCCAGGGATGGGTACTGGACAGAAGGGACCATGAGCCTAGAGATGTGAAAAGACAGGGCTATGATCAGTTATCAGAATCATCTATACAGATAAGATCCCCATCAAAAAGCTCTCCCTGCTCCAAGAAGATACCAGCTAATGGTTGTCACTTAGGCTGATATGTACGCTACAATACTCAAATAAAACTAAGTTACTCTATGCGCAGAAAACGTACATTCTGAACTCTAAGACATATCTCAGTTAATATTTTGGACTCTAAACAAAATGGTACCTGATTCCTAATGTAAAGATTCAAAAAGAATCATATGTTTTGTCCTACGATGGAAATATACCATTTTATTTGCTATCAACAGGAAGCTTTTAATACATCTGACAGAAATATAGTAAATATTTACTTTTCAATGAAAAGGTTATGGAAGAAACAGAAGACTTCAACACAACATAAACAGGAACTATAATTTCAAAAAGCTTTGGTGTCCAGATACAGGAAGCAAGATAAAAATAGCAAGCACAGAAACCACTATGGACTTACCCAAGCTCTTATGCTCCTGCTTTCACAAGGTATGTTCTGTAGTCAGAAACTGCCTTGCTACTTGCTCATGGGTTCAAAAGCACCAGTTATTTTTCCATGGAACACACAGATCATCTCATCTGTTCACTGGCAACTTCCCAGAAGAAAGTCCCCACTCAAGTCTTTCAGAGCCTGTAAACACGACAAATGGGAGAAAAAAGAGAAAGCAGAGTTGAGGACAGAGCACTAGGTTGGTCAGATGGTTCATGTGCCGACAGGTTATAATGGGCCTGTGGAACTAGACACTCAAGCACTACTGATAGATTAATGCAGGGCAACCCAAGAGGCTGGAGCACTGTGCCAGTCTAGTGCTTAAAATAAGAACGCCAGACCAGTTGAGGCCATAGCCCAATATGTGGCTGCCCTCCAGGCTGCAGGGAGAGAGGGAGGTTGAAATATTTTGTCCAGGCCCATGGAGCTGTTCTCCCTGACAGCAACACCCTTAGATAGAATTTAAACAGCCAGGACAAAATCTGAATCTACATCCTAACCAGAGTAGGAATGAGTAAAGGGAAGCTCCCCTCCTTCTAACATACAAGTGATAAAAGAAAAATTCTGAGACTGTCCTAAATTTAATTACAAGGACTGGAGGGTGGAGAGGGAAAGAGATAAGGGAAGTTAATCAGTTAACAGGTGAAACCAACAAAACTTTCACATTTTCATTTCATATAATGGAATTTTGACTTAAATCCCATAACAGACTATGTTCAAACTCTCTGGACTTTAAGTCTCAATCCATAATCAACAATTACTTCTCCTTATACACTGCCTGCCTATCCCAAAGCTTTCCCAGCTTTGCAGAATCACATCCCTCTTATCTACAGCAAAAGTAATTTCTATGTAAACACCTTGTGTCTTTCTTCCCCAAATTGTCCTTATTAAAGCTCTTAGCTCTGGTTGAGTAGGCATATTTCTAACTACCACCTATCCCTGTAGTTGGTAGTTACTGAAACTTATCCCCAGGACCTAGTCCTTTTTCTCCCTACCATCTGTAATGGCTCAACAAATCCTTTTATTTCAGAGGTCCCTCCATCTCAAGACTTTTGGTTTATGTGTTCAAATTTCAAAACTGGCTACAGAGACCCAAAGACTTTCCTAAAGAAAGAAAACAAACATGACCATACTCTACCTATTTCCCAGATACTGATTCTAATGCTAAATTACAAAGACCATTTCATTTTGTATAAAACTTTAAATACATTTTAGCAGGCCAATGATTGCTTTTGTTTATACTTGTACTTAAATTGCTTATATCAAATGAATGTTACTCAGTAATAAATATGGTATCTATCTATGTATAAACTTACAGCCTGTATCAGACATGTCCGATTCACCACCGTTGGATTGCATGTGGCCCTGAAGAGCTAGTAATATAGCCCCACAAGACCATGGACTTTTAACATTATTACATGATAGTTAGCAATACTTGTCAGCAATACTTGTCATAGCTTGACTGTAAGGTGCTGGAGCCAAGACTGCATAGGTGACAACAAAATGTATGTAGAGACGGCCTAACTCTACCTCCTGGATCTGTCACACAAACCAAAGTGAAACAAGAGTTATTACATGCACTTTGTGCTACATGGATGAAAAAAATGCAGCAATTACCAATAGTATTTCAACCTACCCACATGCATATGTGCCTACAAAAACAGATGCTTTCTGTTATTACTCAGACATGTAAGTTTTCTTATTTAATTATTAAACTTTGGCTTGTGTTATTTCATAAAATCATAAATGGAAATATTTTTAGCAGCTCTGGTATAAAAATACAAAAATAGATCAAAGAGTTTTTTGCTCATGACACTGTTATAATTACATATATAACACTCATGCTAAAAAAGTTTAAAAAGTAAGGAACAGGGCGGGGATTTAGCTCAGTGGTTCCACTGCCTGTCTCGCAAGCAGAAGGACCCAAGTTCGATCCCCAGTACCAAAAAAAAAAAAAAAAAAAAAGTAAGAAATAAAGGAAGTTTGTTGCTTAGATACATTAACAATATTATATATTTTGTATGTGACCCAAAACAATCCCTCTTCACTTAATGCAGCCTACACACATCAAGTGGCTGGACACCTGTGATTTACATAGTAGACTTCGCACAGGGGCTTATGTTCACTGATGCAGCATAAAAGTAGCTGGGAATCCTCTGGTATCACTCCCCAACTCACTCAGATCAAAACCTACAGCAGGCCAAGGTCTTCTCTTGGGTCACTCAATTTGGCCAAAGTCCTCCCTTGCAACACTGCTAATTTCTGGACAATCTAATGATTCCTTCCTTTACCTCAATGAATACACTTCTTTTTTTTTTTTTTTTTCTGGGAATGCTAGGAGTCAAATCCAGGACGTTGGGCTTGCTGAGTGTTTTATCACTGAACTACATCCTCAGCTCATGTCTCATCAATTCTATCACAACAACAAATCCTAAGTAAAACAAATCCTAAGTAAATCCTAAGTAATTTGTAATTACTGAGAATGTGAAGGAAAGGACAATTTAAATAAGACATCCTTGGGCCAGGAATTTAGCTCAGTGGTTCCCCCGCCTGCCTCGCAAGCGGAAGAACCCCAGTTCGATCCCCAGTACCAAAAAAAAAAAAAAAAAAAATCCTTAAGCCATCTTTCCAATCCCTAAAACTCTTTAAGTGGTTGTTCTAAGTTAAGCAAAATTCAGTCCTTTTGAGTTCCTACTTCCTGAGAAACAGATCTGGGATAAATCTATCAAGGTGTTTAGCAGCTCTAAAGCCTTCCATCTATTCAGACCCACTCCCCACATTTTTTTAAAGTAAAAGATAGCAATAATTGTCTTAAGTCACATTTCAAGCTCTAAAGTTTCTTCTCAGTATAAATCCAGGCAGAGCAGGGTCTTCTCAACTGTGTTTACTGAACTGAGTCACCATGCTACTGTTGTAAATAACTGCTCACCACATCAAAGCCCACACTGCCATTCCTAAGAGCAGCAAAGTCACTGTGCAACAGGAGATTAGGGCGTGGCAAAGCTGGCTGGGGAAGTAGGTGTGACCCGTTAATTACAAAACCCCAGGATACAGGTGCAGATCAGTCCCCAAAGCCTTGCAGGTGGAGAACTTTCCATAGGACGGCCTGTCAGCCTCAGGAGTGGGTGATACAAAAGAGTCCACATGGAGTTTTTGCCACTGTGTTCTCTCTTGCATGGTGGCCTGCCCTCACACTGCAGGGTATATTTCTTTTCCTACTTTTACTTGGCTCAAACTCGCTCAGCAGAGCCTGTTTCTTTTCCTACCATTAATAAAACTCTGCTACCGTTTGTGCTTGTCTTAACCAATTTTTTGCTCAGGACAGAAAGAATCCAGAAACCACCTCCAGAGACTCCAGGACCCCCAAACTCAGTAATAAATGCATATTAAAAATATCCTCCCCTGAGCACCTGGGTATGATAGTGCTCACCTATGATCCTAGCACTGAGGAGGCTGAGCCAGGAGCACTGCCACAAGTTCGAGGCCAGCCTGAGCTACATAAGGAGACCCTGTCTCAAAAAACAAGTAAATAAAATAAAAATATCCTCCCTTCCACAGCAACTCCTGTCAGCTATTTCATTCCATTCTTTCCAACTACTGCCAGTGAAATGTACAACCTAACAACAAAAAATAAAATAATTTTTGATTCTGGGGTTTTTTTGAAGACTAAGAAGCTAAGTTTCAGGAAGGTAAAAGTAGTTGCCCATATCCTTTTGATGAGATAAAAGACTTCTTAGGATATATGATGTACTATGAGAAAGTGTGTTATATCTCTTTTAATCTGTACAATAACTATGGAAAGAAAATAGCAGTGTAATCCCTTTTTACAGTGAGTAAATAGACATAAGTTAATACATAAAATGCTCAGGCTCAAATCAGAACAACAAGCAGGTGGTACAGTTGGGATTCAAGCCCAGTAGGTTCACCTTCAGAGTGTAAGCTGTTAAAGAATGAAACAGAGATAACATTATGCATCTCACACAAATATAAAAAGAACGTGTCTATGACTTAATATAATCATTAATTGGAGAATATGTATGATATTCCAACTAGTTTAAAAGAATCCAGCCAGACCTGGTGGCACAGGCCTGTAATTCCAGCTACTTGGGAGGCTGAGGCAGGAGGATTTTAAGTTCAAGGCCAATTTAGGCAACTTAGCAAGACCCTATCTCAAAATTAAAATAGCTGGAGGTGCAGTTCAGTGGTATAGCACCTGAGTTCAATCTCCAATACTGGGGGGCGGGGGGGGGGGATGAGGCATATACAGTATGTTCCAGACTTAAGAACATTCAAGTTGCGAACTTTCAGATACAAATGGATCTGTCATTACTAACATTTGTAGATGCGAACAAATCATGAAAGTACCCTAAACCTAACCCAGTACCACAATTTTAAGGTAACTGTAAAAGTAAAAATAGTCTATTAATAGTATTTTTATGTGTGTTTGGTTTTTTAATACTTTACATTGTATATTTGTGTCAAAGGTGTGTAAGACTCACTCTGTTGGACTTAAAAATGAATCCAACTTATGAATGTTCTCCTGGAACAGAACTCATTTATAAGTCAGGGACTTACTGTATAGACAGAGGAGAATACCAAGATGAATATACAAAACTGGCTTCTTCTCAAAAAGAAGAAATTGTTTGTACTTTCAACTAACAAAATTTCCTCCCATGTATCAGGACCTAATTTCCACTGTTATGAGTAACTCATAACTTACAGGGCTATAAAATAAATCGAAAGCAATGGAAGCTGCAAACTCCACAGAATTAGATAACCTGGTGGAAAGTGCTCTAAAAGCCACTGACTAGCCTGGCTAGCATGGGTTCTTGCTTTAGCGATAATGGAAATCAAAACTAAAGCCAACAGTATAAATTTACAGGGAAAAACATTAACTGCAATTAGAGAAACTAAAGAGGAACATGGCTCTGATGAAGATCAAGCCAGTTTTCTAACACAGGAAAGTAAGAAAAGATAGTAAAAAACCTTGAGAGATTGAGAAACTGAAGGTGGCACAGGTCTGAAGAGGTAGAGCAGGCCAGCCCATTCACAAAAGAGCACAGACCAGTTTCAGGGAGTACTGTGGTGGGCAGGAGTCCTATCCATCATCATCTCAGTCCAGGTCCCATAGCTCCAGAGAAATCCCTAGGATCTGAGGGGCAATGTGGCTCTTGAGGCAGTCTCAGTCATGTGAAGTTCTGCTGGAATCCATGGTGCCCACAAGTTGAGGGTAAGAGACTTCTGGGCATAGCTCTTATCCTGGTGTTCTCAGTCTTGAAGGGAAATGAGCTAGGCAAAGTAAATTTAGGTCTAATTAACCTTGTTTTGCCAACTTTTTGTTAGCCGTTCCCTAAATGATTAACATTCCTACTTGCAGAGCCAAGAAAGATTTGACCTAGATTTACAAAATGAAGGTTTAGCTTTGTTCTACTTTTAGTTACTTGGTAGGCATCAGTCTTAAGTCACTTTCTTCATCGCTGACACACAATACCCAACACTCACAAATTAAAAGAGGAGAGGTTTATTTTGGCTTGCAGTTTCAGAAGTTTCAGTCCATGCATAGTCTGCTGGCTCCAAGGTACAAACACCATGGTGGAAAAGTCCAGGCAGAAGAAAGCTGCTCAGGGCACATCAGCCAGGAAACAAATAGAGAAGGCAGGAGCAACTGTCCTGACTCAAAGAGTTTGGGTTTTAATGTTAATCTTTTCAGCAACCACAAGGCCCCAACTTTATAGGCACTACCTTTCTGAAGAAACTGTACCCTTTTCAAATCATTTAACTCTGCTGCTTGCTCCTAATTTTTGCCACGGATCTCCCTGAAAGCAGCAAGCAGTACCCATGCTACAGCTTGAACACTGGGATGCCTTGAAATTTCCTCCACTAGATCAGTCATCCACCACTCTTCATCAGGAGACTGCTCCTGCAAAATTCTGGGATATAAGCAAAATGTAGACAAATTTTCTGCCAGAGTGTACTACACAGTCTTGAGTGCAACTGCTAAAGACCTTGTTCCCAACTGAAACCTCTTGTGCCTGGCTTTCATTATCCACATTTCTATCAGCATTCTAATCTTCTGGGCTCCAAGCAAAATATCCCATCAAGCTTGCCTTATAGATCCCTAGAGCTTCTGCAGCCAGCATCTCCAAACCTTTCCAAACTCCTCCCACAAACCAGGTCCAAAGACGTCTAACTTACATGGTCAAATATTGTCATAGCAACGACTCCACTTTCCTTGTCACTAAGACTAAATACTCAACACCTACAAATTAAAGAGGAGTGGTTTATTTTGGCTGACAGCTTCAGAAGTTTCAGTCCATGCATAGTTGGCCTGATCCAAGAGACAAAGAGCATGGTGGAAGGGCCACAGCAAAAGAAAGCTACTCACACTATAGCGGCCAGGAAGCAAAGAAAGAAAAACTGGGATCCTATTTGGGTCCCCGCGGTCAGGCTGCCTGAGCTGCCTGCCTCAAACTGGGGTCATAAAATGGGCATGCCCCAAACTGGCCTCAGGCTGTATATGCAGCTCACCCCAAACTGGGGTCACGAGGAGGTGTGCCCCAATCCAGAATCACCCTGCAGCCACACCCCAAACTGAAGTTGGGCTGCATGTGTGGCCCACCCCAAACTGGGATCATGCCAGGCACCTCAAAGCAGGGTTGGGCTGCATGTGCAGCCTGCCCCATTTCCTAGAGTCAGAACTGCCCAAAGGAGCAGCTCTGCTGTTTTCTGTCATGTCTAGAGCAAATGTCCTTGGTCCTGGAACATGGCTATTCCAACCTTTATCAACAGATCAGGGAAGCAGGCAAAGAAATTGTACACAATAGCTGGGCTTTACTGTAGGGACAAAAGGGTATTAAGGTAGAGAAAAGGAACAAAAGCAAACCATTGGAATCTTTCTTGACTCCACAGATTTCACCAAGTTCGTGGATAGTGTCAGCTACCACCTGATCAATCACTTGAACTGGACAGCTTAGCACATGTTCCTACCCACCCAAAAAGAGGAGCCAGGGCATCAGGTGGACTGAGCTTATGCCCTTCAGTTTTAGAGAGAGAGAAAGAGATCAAAAAAAGCAATTTAGAGAAAACTTGACCCCACAGATGTGCTTTGTGAGATAGCTTACTCCAGTGTGACCTACAAGCCAGTTCTCTCCACTGTCTCAGGACTGGGTTTCCCATGCTGGATGTATGAAAAACTTCGCTTGAGACACTGGATAGGGGCTTCATCCTTACTTTGTATCTCCCTGGAAGAGCAAGATTTTTCAGAGTCCAATCTAACCTAGGGACAGGGTGTGGTGCTAACCTAAAGGAATACTTAGGCTGCTACAAATCTTGGAGTGTGCCTCCTGATACTTCTTTCCTTTTCTGCTTCGAAGGAGCACACGACTCTTGTCTTCAGTGCTCTTATGTACAAGCACTTATTTTCTAGGGGCTTAGGAGTCTCTAACTGCTGGAAAAGAAAAGAGACTATAACTGCAGAGGGAGAGAAGGAGAAAAAGAAAAACTATGCTTTAGAAACAAAAGGGTTGGGAGAAAACTATGCTTCACAGGGCCAACAGATTGGGGAAAAAGAAAGAAAATAACTAACTAAATAAAAAAGCCTTTTGGCTGGACTTACTAAAGTCACCCTCTCAATGTCTCTTTTTAGGTCCATTCATGTGATTTAGATTTGTATTTCCTGGACAGTAAATTGCATCAATCATGCTTTCCTGTGCTTATTTGCATTTTTTTTCCTTTTGGAGAAATGTTAGTCATATTCCTTATCCATTTTTAATTGAGTTATTTACCTTTTTATTGGTGAGTTGTAGAAGCTCTTTATATTTAAGTCTCTTACAGATACAATGTGAAAAACCTCTCCCATTCTGTAATTTTTTTATGTGAAAATAAAAGACAGTTGATTTTTAAATGTTTGGCTTGGATCTATAACCTTGTTGAACTCACTCCCAAAACTGGGAGGTTTTTGAGGTGTTATCTCTTGGGAATCTCTACGAAAACCTTCATGCCATCTGCGAATAGAAACACTTTTCTCTCTTTTTCATTTTTTCTTTCTTTTCTTTTTCTTTCCAGTAAGACCTTAACAGAGACCTTAAAGGCATCTAGTAAATTTTATATGATTACTAAGTTACAATGTCTATCCCCAAAAACATCATCTTTAGGATCTATTTTATGAACCTGGGACCAATTTAAGATAAAAAAATTTTTTAAAGCTGATTTTTCTCTAAAGGTGAACTACAGAGTAAAAACACGAAACTTCAAAGCTCTTCTCTCATCCTCCTGACTCTTACTGGTTAAATAACAAAAAAGACACTCAGAGTAGCTTACAAATAAAGGCCTTAAAGTTTGATAATCCACTGCGTATGTATGATTGGGTTACTGTGTATGTTTCTGTGTGTCTATTTTCAGGAATGTTTTATTTTAGTTGGTATTGTATACAGATAAGTAGACACTCATGATATAACCCAAATACTTTTTATACTTTTGTTCACATGGCTTAAAAATGAGTTAACAAAACACATGAGATAAAATAAGTAAGTTAGGGCCTGGGGACTTAGCTCAGTGGTACTGTGCCTGTCGCCTGCCTGGCAAGCGCAAGGTCCTGAGTTCAATCCCCAGTACCAAAAAAAAAAAGAGAGAGAAGTGAGTCAACAAAAAAGCTGGTAACATATTTCCATCCATGTCCTTTAATTCTTATCCATACAGTCACACCCTATAAACCTGTTAACAGGAATCTACATTTTGCCTTAAGATTAAAACGAAGTAAATATATGTAAAGATTTCTATATACTCATGAAGCTAATTATTGCTAACCATGTTAATTATTAAATACATTTGTGTTTCCCAAGTGTATAGGCCTAAGTAGGAGAATTTGAGAGAAGCATCTTATTGTACTGGTGACACTAAAGTTGTTCGTGATAATGGACTTTTTCAGGTTTATGTTCATGTGATTGTTATATAATTGTATTAATTATGATTAATAGTTATACAAATGCATTATATACAATATAATTGTATTGTGGTAGATATGCCTAAATATTGTACAGTTGAGGCAATGTCATTATAATGATTAAAGATTAGACAGTAATAAGCTATCAAGTACATCAATGAATAAATACCTTCTACTTAACTGACAGCTAATTAAAAGGTAACAAATTTACATAAGGGCTTCTTTGTCATTTCATATTTTGTAATTTGGTAAAGGTAACTAATTAAAGTTATTTTATACTAAAAGGAGAATTTCAATGTATTTTTAGAGGTTAAAAAAGTGATTCTAACATAATGTCATCATAATTGTTAAGCTAAATGCTGTTTGCTCTTGTCCCTCTTAGGCAAGAGCTGTCTTTGTCTCAATAAATATTCCCTTTTTTTTTTTTTTTTTTTTTTTTGGTTTTTTGAGGCAGGGTCTCCCTTTGTAGTTCAGGCTGGCCCTGAACTCACTATGTAGCCCAGGCTGGCCTGGAACTTGTGGGAAGCCTCCTGCGTCAGCCTCCCAAGTGCTGGGAATACAGGCATGTGCTGGGGCTCAATATTCCCTACTCTTAACCGCCATTGTTCTTAGAATTCATTCTTCGATTTTAGAAAACATGAACTTGGCATTTCAGATATTTAGTAGGCTGGGAGTTAATATTTTCCTTACATTATTTGGAGGTCCTATATCATATACCCTATATCAATACTATGCACTACAATTCTTTATACTGTATGATGACCCATTAGTTATAGGCTAATGTCTCATGTGTCCTTGCCATCTTTTTGAGACTAGTGAAAGGTGATGGTGATATAGACAGCTAAATTAGGTAGAAATATTGTAGGCAGTCAGACAGGGTGGTGCCTCAAAGTCAGTGCAGAGAATGAGAACACATCAAAGCTGTGGCTGGAGCCACATCTGAAGATTAAAGTCACAATGGCAACATTTGTATGCTTCCCTGAGGGATAGTGGTACCTCCCTTTTGGGCTTTGGGGGTGGGCCATTCTCTTCCACCTAGGAAGACTAAGACCACTAAGACTAAGACTAAGTAGATTTAAGACTAATACTACAGATTATCAACCAAGGTTAATGATGTCATCCATATAGCCTTGTTACTACTGGCTCAACATTACCTAAGCAACTATACTTCTAATCTTATTGTTTGATTATAGTTTTTACCCATGTTGTACCCACCCCTTGTGACTTTGCTCTGTAAAACTTCCTTTGAGCAAGCTCACTGTCAACCCTTTCAGGACCCCTCCTGTATCTCAGAAGCTATTCTTATTCC